GCTGTTCTTGTCTCTACATGAAAACATTAGAGGACGAGAAAGGACTTCTGCTGGGAAATCTGCATGAAGTCTGGTGTTAGCTGCCTCATTCAGGAAGGCTTGCAGGGGTAGAAATACATCGAGAGGAAAGCAGTGCTGTCTTCATAGGTTCAGTATATGTTTTTATGCTCTTTGATGCTGCACTGAGGGGATTTGAGGTCCGCAAATTGCCTTGTGTATCTGCCATGCATGCAGAGAAAACAGCAGGGGGCGGGATATTTACCCGTTAGCTCATTTAAAAGGAATTATCTAAAATGTAATATGCAGGTGCCAATCACAGTCTCACAAATAATAATGCACTGTTGATCTTTGTAAACCAAGAGAATACTGCTGGATTGCTCTGTGGCTTCAGTGTCTGGCTGTGGAGCCAGAGGCTGGGAGTTCAATTCCCTGCTGTGCCTCCCTAGTAGGGTCTGGACTCAGCGATCCATAGAATCCCTTCCAGCTCTGAAGTTCTAAGATAGGGCAGGGTTGGGGGTTGGTTTCCCCTCTTTCTTGGCAGGCCGTCCTTTATTTTCTTTTTATTCCATTCAGTCCACCATGTAACACTTTTCTCTGCATGGTTAATCATTATTTTTCAATACTCTCCCCCTTGATCAGTTTCTTCTATTCCCTCAGAATTTGAATTTTAGCCAGCTATTTTTTTGCTCCTGGTTCTTCTCTGTTGTTATCTGGACATTTTAAACTGGGTATCCTTAATCCAAGAGCCAGGGCAGTGTTGTGGATAGCGTGTTGGAGTAGGATTCAGGGAGACCTGGACTCAGTTTCCCACTTGGCAATGGAAACTGCCTGGGAGGTGAGTGGGAATAGTAGACCTTGAACATCCTCAAAAGCTTATTAAGGTCACTGTAAATCAGAAGGGGCTTAACAACATATAACAAACAATAACAACTCCAGATTCCACTTAACATGATCTTCTCTTCCTCCTTGTGAAGTGACTCTGACAAGGGAACCAGAAGAAATTCCCTCACAAAATTCCCAACACAGTTCCCCAGGGGAAATGCCCATTCCAATGACTTCAGCATGTTAATGCCATCTTGGGACAGCCTTGTGGTTAGCATGGTGGTGATGCCATCCTAAGCTGTCCTTGACAAAGCAGTCGAGGGCTGGGTGTTCAGGTTTCCCAAGACCTCAGTACTGAGACTATATCCATCCAATCTGAGAAAGTTCTAGCTTCCCTTTCTTTTCTGTCTTTCTATGCACACCCAACACTCTCCTTGCATCTTTCCTTGTTTTCCCAAGGGTAGGGGGAAAGCTCTTATATTTCCTCTTTCACGACGTATTGACTCCTTCTGCCAAAGCTGCTCTTTGATTCATTGACAGGGCTGTTTCTCCCATGAAGTCTCCTGCTTCTTCATTTTGTGCTACAGGGCAGTCCAATTGTTGAAGCTCAGTGAAAGAGAAGGATGTTATTATGGAGAACAGTCAGAAATCAGATAGGAAATCCTGGTATAGTGTAAATAGTGGTGAGGTCCAGTAGTGCTTAACCTTTGGCCCTAAAGTTGTGTTGGATTCCAAATCCCAACATCCCTGATCGTTGGCCATTTAGGATGGGGCCCGTGGGAGCTGAAGCCCAAAATTACCAGAGAACCAAAGGTAGCAATTCCACTAGCTTTGAGGATATCCTTTGTTCAAACCCTGTTTCTGCATAATATAACAAGATGTTAATCTGAATGAATAAGAAATGCCTGAAGAATCAGGATGTTATAAGATGTTGTTACTGAAAAGTCAACCTTCCTGAAGTGTAGCCTCCAAACATTTTAATAATAATCCTAATCTAGTGTAAATTAGAATTCTTTCTTTCATGTCTTTCCGTGGTTCTGCTGTATGGCATGGGATTGTGGATTTTAGTACAGACAGGTGCAAAAATAGCAGAAGCATTTGAAAGGTGATTTTACTGGAGGATGGCTAGAATACTTGAGGCAAGTGATGAGAAAAAAATAATACAGATTGCTACATCTGATCATTCAAGGTAAAATAAATCAGAAAATATGTACAGGTAGAAGGACAGTGTATCGGCTAAAGAACATGGGAGCCTGGTTTAGATTAAGCACAAGACTGATGTTTAGATCTAATGTATCCTAAGTCGGTATGGTCATGATACCATCCAGTGTCCAGTAAGAAGAAATCAAAAAAATACCTTTAAGTTTTCATGGAATAAAACTTCTTCACATGGGCAAAGTGCTTGTCAGCTTAAACTCCATGCACATCTACCTATAGTTGGATGAGAAGTCAATGTGGTGATGTGAATAGACTGTCAGATTAGGACTCAGTGTTCGAATCTTTGCTCAGCCATAGCAACTCACCAGGGGGTGAAACCGGTAAACTCACTTCTTAAATATCTTAATTACCTTGAAAATCCTATTAGGCTCACTGTTAAGTCGGAAGTGACTTGACAGTACATGGCATATACAGAGAAAGGTAAGAGATGAGTGTGGTCAGAAAGAAGTGACATCCAGAGAATAAAGGAACTATTTTATTAATAGTGGGCATTCACAAAGGAGTCATTGCTAATAACATAACTGCCCCATTCTGGGGCTAAGCTTATCATTACATATAGTATGTTAAGAACAAAACTTGGAAATAGCATGTTAAAAGCAACGATGCTACCATCGTTTTAACTTTTTTAATTTATATATATATATTTACTAACAAGGGCCAATAGTAAATCTTATCAGGAAAATGATGTCATTATAATTTTTGTGTAGTGATCTTTGGTTATTTTTTTCAAAAATAATGTTGACAATAGCACATTAATAAGATGTTATTTTTTTTAAAATGACAAATGTATCATTGTTTTAATAACATAATATCTTTTAGTAATATTTCCAAGAACATCTAGTTCTTGGAAATCTTAAAAACAGAAATTGATATTCTGTTATCTTATTAAAAGAAGATTAAGATAACAGAATATTAACTGTTTTCTTAACTGTTATTAAGATATCAGAAATTATCCCAGCTGGTTTGGAAACGTGTCTCCTGATCCAAGCTATGGCGATATAGCAAGTATAGGCCTAACCCAAGGCTCAAATATGGGGTTGTCATTGTGCTTCGTTGGCAAGATGTGGGTGGGGGAGAGCCAACAGCAGAGGCAAAGCACCATAAAAAGCAGAGACATTGGGCTCATGGACAGTGGGAGCCCACCCTGCTCATGGGATTTGTAGTCTCAAGTAGTGAGGAAAAGGCGCATTCCACACAAGCAAACACCATGTTTTCATGACAGAACATTTGAATCGGAGGAGAAATATAAGGGAGTTTCGTTTGAAATAGTCAAAACAGAAACATTTATTTCACAACTCCTTTGCATGGGATGAGGCTGTGGAATATGGATGGAAGGGCTCTGTTCCAAGAAGCTTGTGGCACACACACACATACCCACTTTCCAGCCAGTAATTGTAATTACTATGCGGCACACACACACATAACCACTTTCCAGCCAGTAATTGTAATTACTAATGAGAAGTAATTGACAGCCTTTGACGCGGCTGGTGTCCTATAAGAGAAATGAAATGCACGTTTGCACGCGGGTCTGGGAATCACGGGTTGCCCTCCTTTTTCTGGGTGCCGCGTGTCCTCCTTTCAGGCCATCCCCAAAGACTGAATCCGTCGCAGGGGTTACAAGAGAAGCAGGTCCGTCCACGGGGCTAAGCGAAGCCGCTGCTACGCTTCGAGGCAGAGAAGCAAAGTGGCGCCCTCTGGCGCCCGTATGCGATGCGAGCAGCTGCTCCACTTCTCTAGAGGCGCCGGAGACTCTCTTGATCCATTCCAGAGGCTGCGTTTTCGTCAGGGCGCGGAGGAGGAGGGGCGCATGCGCATGTTCAGAAAAACGCGTGGGGTGGGGAGAGGAAGAGGCAGAAAACAATCGGGCTTAGTAACGGTCTGACGCATGCGTATTGAGCGATGAGGATGGCCGCTGGGGTGAGGTCGATCACAGACATAAGAAAAAACAGAGTGGGACAACTCAAGTTCCTGCACAAAGTGTCCGAATCCCTTCGAGTGGCGTCCTTTCACAGCTTGATATCTTGTAGGTTGTCGAGGATGGCCGCTGGGGTGAGGTCGATCGTAGACATAAGAAAAAGTTAGAGTGGGACAACTCAAGTTCCGGCACAACGTGTCCGAATCTCTTCGAGTGGCATCCTTTCACAGCTTGATATCTTGTAGGTTGAAAAGATTCTACGCTATATACCCGAAAGGGAAGGCAAAACCCGGCTAGGTTTACGACTGAATTTGTCTCCTAGGGAAATGTATTTGTCTGCAAAGACTGCTGCGGAGGATGACTCTTCTCTTTCTATTTCTATACAGAGGAAAGATGGCGCGGGGGACGTACGTCACTATCTCAGTCGGCGGCCAGAGGCTGCAAATGGACCAATCAGCTCTTTGCGAGGCCTGGCGGCGCCCAATAAGGGCGCAATCGCCGGCTGGCTCCAGTGGCGCCGATTTGGAATCCCCTGTTAGAGAGGGCGCTGGGTAAGTGGCTGCAGGAGGCTTGTCCTGGAGGGAGTAGGGGCGAGCAAGCCCTGAAGGGACATGGCGAGGGTTCGGGTGGGGTGAGACTCCCTAACAGCCCGCTTGGGAAGGAAGGTGCAGAAGAGAGCGCCTGCAATGAGGACTGGGCTGGGGCACCTCCCTTATGAGGAAAGGCTACAGCGTTTGGGGCTCTTGAGTTTGGAGAAAAGGCGCCGGGGGGGGGGGACATGATTGAAAGGTATAAAATTATGCAGGGGGTGGATAAAGTGGAACGAGGGAGGCTCTTTTCTCTCCCAAGCAATACCAGAACCAGGGGACATCCACTCCAATTAAGTGTTGGGAGAGTGAGAACAGATCAAAGAAAAGATTTCTTTACCCGGCAGGTTGTTAGTCTGTGGAACCCCTTGCCACAGGATGTGGTGATGGCATCTGGGATTAGACAGATTTCTGGAGGAAAAGTCCATCATAGGTTACAAGCTGTGATGGTGATTTATAATCTTCAGGCTTAAAAGGAAGGTACCTGATGTATAATCTTCAGGCTTACTGTAAAAGGAAGGTACCTCAAAATGCCATATGCAGGGGGTGTGGTATCAGGAGACAGGGATATAGTTGTCTCATGTGCTCCCCGAGGCCTCTGGTGGCCCTGTGAGATACAGGAAGCTGGACTAGAGGGGCCCTTGGCCTGATTCAGCAGGGCTCTTATGTTACTTCCTGGGACTACAGTTCCCAGAACCCCAGTGATCATGGCCGTTGGCTTATTTTTTTAAAAGTATCTTTTCCCAGTTCTGCTTTAGATTATCTGCAGAGTGCAACGGGCTGCCGTGTAATATATTTTAGACATGTATCCTGATCCATCCATATCTAACAAAAAAGGAGGGTAATCAGAACAATGAAATTCAAAGGACACAGGGAAAAATAGGTGCAAAGAGCCACAAGCTGAGGGTGTGCATGTGTCCCAAAAAGAGCACATATCAAATTTATGCCTTTGCTCTTTGTGTGTGTGTGTGTGTGTGTTTGTTTGTTTGTTTGTTTGTTTTACAGTCATGAATAAAAACTTGCTTTGGATAACAGCAATTTGAAAAACGTATACAGACATGTTGTTGTTATAATATGCAACATTGGATTCCCGTCCTCCCATCTGTGCCTGTAAATTTCCGTGTAAGAAACTGCTTGGGAGAAATGATGCAAGCAAGGTGGGCTGAAGGAGGGGGCATTAATCCGGGTTGGAGCAGGGAGTACTGTGCCAACTCCAACTTGACTGGCACGGTCAAGGACATAGAATGGTAGTTGGAGGAAGCAGGAGGGGGAAGGCTGCACCTAAACTTAACAAATCATTTTAAACAATAAAATTGATCTGGAACTAGCCAAACTTTGGCCTGTAAGCTGCTAGCGGCAGGGGACTGACCATTTGCAAAACTGACAGATGTGCCTGTATGACTGCATTGTGGACTTTTCTATCTCGTTCTTTTCTAATTACAGTTAAGTTCTTTAATCAGTTGTTGGTTTGTAATGATAAGTGTATTCACTGTTTTGAAACAAAGACTGTAGAAGAGTCTTCACAGCTAGTGAACAATTGCAATTTGAGGAGGGCCCGCGGTAATAGTAGAATGTTTGTGTTTAGTGATGGAATTTAGCAGTTTCCCAGCTGTACAACCATCTTTGTCTATTCCACTTTCATGGGACCTTAAACTAAGCTTGTTCTTTATTGAATGGAACAAGTTCTGAAACTAGAGTCCCCTAGTTTACAAACTAGATATCGCCCTGTAAAAAGAAAGGATCCTGGGCAGCTGATTCACTCATTATGAGGCAAGTTCCACCTGGCCACATGTTATTGATGTCTCCAAATACTGTAAAGTCTAAAGGAAAGCCTATATATGAGACAGCAGGCCCACATGTTGTTTTACTGTATAAAAATAAGGTTCTGGGTAGCAAAATAAAACAAGGTACTTGTGCTGCCCCCATTACTTACATATTCTGCTTCAGGTAAGATGTTAGCAGTACTGGAGTGAGGTGTAGGCAGGAGTTTACGCTCTCTCTCTGGCAACTACTTGGAACCAAAAGTTCATCCCCCCCACACACACACACACTCAGATTTTTTTGTGTCTTTTCTACAGCTTGGCACATCAACCAGCAATGGCGGCCATCAGTGAACAGTTGCAAAATATGGAGAAGGTGAGCAAGGATTTGCTGAAACTAATGGCCGGAGGCAAGGCAACAGAGATGCTGAAGGACAACCTAGCTAAACAGGAGCAGATGATAGACAAGATGCTGGAGACTCAGAAAACCACAAAACAGCTGATCAGAGGTACTTTTACTGCCTTGCCTCTTACAGCTGTTGACAACTTGCATGGCATTGATCTTCTTTAGCACATTTGTTTCTCAGTTAGGAAAGGAGAGTTATCACAAGATGTTGACTGGATTAATGCCCTTATGAGAGGAAATTCTGTATAAGTTACTAGCAGCTTAAAAACATAGTGCATGTGCTCACAAACATGTGCATTCATGCTCACTAAAGATAACAGCACTATCTTTTTCTCTTAGGTTGCATTAGTATATCCATAAGTAGATGTATGGCATATTTGTATGAATATCAGCACCAGAGATGCCTGGGAAAACCAGACTCCCTCCCCGAACAAGCAGGTCAATTTACTGCTCGCTGTGTGGTGTGCGTGGCCGGTGTAATTCTCATCGCATCAATCTGGGAAGCAGCCTGGCCAGTGCTTCACCGCTTCCCCATACAGCCGACCCCTCAACAGCTGAGTGGGGAGACTCATCATCCCACCTCTTTGCTGGAGTGGTCAGCTGTCTGGGGAGGCGAGGAAGTGCTGGCCGGGCTGCTTCCTGGATTTGTGCACAGTGTGGGTAAGTGGTCCTGCTGGTTTGGGGGGAGGGGAGGATTTTCCCAGTCACCTCTGATGCTGGTATTCGTATCAAAAGGATAGTGTTGCTTGGGCCTTCAATATGACTGACGTGTTGCTTCTTTTTCTCCAGTTGGGGACATTCTTCATGAAAGAGCCTGTTAGCTGGTTGGGGATAATGGAGATAGGCGGATTCCAAATCAGCACCAGCGGGGGTGGGAACTGATGTGGGCTTTACCTGTCATCGTAGGGCTAAGCTAAAAAACCTGAGCTACTCTGTCATTCTTTGCTTAGCAGGCACTTTGCTCTTGCTCTCTGCCTTTTGCACGTAGCCAGGTTTTGGACTGTGAATAAAGCTGTCATGTAGGCATAGTGTGAGCTGACAACAAGCAGGCCTCTTACACATCCAGCCAGAGTGTATGCATACGTGTGTCAAAAAGAATGAATGAAATAATGCTTGACTAGCAGTGCTGCAAAAAGTGTGTTGGCTTGGCTTGTTAGTCATTGTGCTGGTCACCAGCATCTTATCCCCTTCAGCCCTCTATGAATAAGAGAGGCAGTGGAAACTGCCTTGTGTTGCATTTTCAGTGCGGTTTTGCAGAAGCAGTGCCAGTCTGGCTTGCTGCAAAGGAAAAGTGAAGGGCTAAGGGCGTAAGAAGGGTGCTTGCTTCACTCTTCCAAATATAACAGTGTCTTTGGTTAAATTTCCCTGGTGGCTTACAGATATAAAGAACACCACAAACTCAACGTGCCATAGATATGAACAACAGCGTGTGTAATGGCACGAAGAAAGAGGAGAAATAAATAAAAGCACGTCGTAGGTATCAAAGAACAATCAGACTGTCCCTAGGTTCTTTTAGTAGAAGGAATGTTTTGGATCACTTTCCAAAGCAGAAGTGGACATCTCCAGGGAGATTATCATAGTTGCTGGCATCAAGTAAGATACTAGTGGTGCTTTAGATGGTGAGGGCACACAGAGGAGGCCTCTGAAGATATTAGCATCTGGATAGATCAATGTAGAAAGCTTTTTCCTTTTATTGGCCCTAAGGAATATGTGTGATAGTGGTGGTTTAAGTTTATGTGTGTCTGCAAGTGTGTGTATGAACCTACATCTACACAAATAATTTGGACTAGTTTGGACATTGTCCACCAAGCAAAATATGGTCCCATTATGTCAATTCAGAAACATTTGGGCTTAAAAAAATACACTTGGGTCTTTTTATGTATAAAGTTTTAAAATGCTGGGTTTTAACTGTCGATGCTTAAAAGTTTAAATGTCGTTAAACTACTCATATCTCTAACCACTGACTGGAGATGGGGTGTGTGGGGCTTTTTAGTTCTGCTTTTGCTGAGCTCCACAGAAAGCCCGCCCGCCCACCTTGCTCCAGTCTCAATTTAGCTCCGTATAGCAGTGGCCTTCTCCCTGCAACCAGCTCATCTGCGCTTGACTGACTGGGCGTGCCGGCTAGCACTGGCGGGAGTTGTCTGGAGGGCCAGAGTTGTCCTCTTCTGAGCTACACTGTTCAGGGCTTTAAAGGCCACACCCAGCATTTCAAATGAATCCCAGGTTTGCGAGGGGATTTGGGGAACTTTCTTCATTCACCATGAGGAATGAGAAGGCGCCTGCATCACCCCTGCGGCACCCTAACATAAGTTCTGCCAGCAACCAAAAAACAAAAAAACACACACTTTAAATGGGGAATGAGGGAGTTCTGTTCTTTTCCTGTTTCAGAACTTATGACTACAGAGGAGAACGTGGCTCGGAAACTTTCTGACAGGGAAGAAGAGCTGAAGGCAAGCCTCCAGAAGCTGCAGAAAATTGAAGCTGAATTGCATCAGGCAAGGGAAGATGAGGCCACGTTGATGACCAGAACGAAATATCCTTCCATGGCTGTATATTGGGGCCAAATCCAGCATTCACTGGGGTGTGTTCATTCCCTACAAATGTGTCGGTCATTTAGTCAGTCTCATAAGGGTGGTGGAATTCCAGCACAGGTCAGGCCAGGCCAGTTTTTGTCACTATTGTATGGGAAGTTTCCCCCCCCCCAAATCTCTGGTCAGCCAGACAAGTATGCTGCAGTTGGCCTCTAGCAGGCTGAGTGAATTAATTGGACAGGAAGCCTTTCCCTTGGCATGACTATACAACTGGGATTTAGAGGTTATCCTAGGGCTTTCTTTGGTAAATAAGGCAATCCAAAGTGTCTTTTGGTTGTATGCCTTTGCTAATGTAACGGAGCTTATTCACTGATGCTTGTGGCCTTCTCCAGAACTGTAAATTCCACCCAGCAAAGATAGGAACAAGTGTTTTCACAGTGGCCAGGACACTCTTTCCCTCTCCTTGCTGTGTGTTTAACTCATTGTGGAGCATATACTTTGAATGCAGAAAGACCCATGTTCAGTGGCTGGGCTTTGTGTAGCTGGGCTGAGAAAAGATTTCCCACCTAAGATCCAGAGGAGGCACTGTCATTCAAAATAAGCTATTTTAGGCTTGATGGAGCAACTTCCATTTTTAAAAAGTTTTTTCACCCACCCACCCCCTTCTACATACACTATCACTGCTCCTGGACTAAACAAGAGTCAAGAGGACCTGCTGCTGAAGATTCTTGGTGCTTTCCGCTCATCTGGTTAGTTGAATGGTGGGCAACTGTGGCTCTCCAGATGTTCCTCGGCTGTTCCTGTCTGCCCCAGCAACACAGCAAGTAGTTGAGATTATAGTTATGGGAGTATCAACTCAACACCTGGAAGGCCACACACTTCCCACTCTAGATAAGTCTTTTGAGCAGCAACAGCTCAACCCACTTCCCGCTTGTCTAAACTGGCTGATGGAGAGTTTTCCCCAACTTAGTTGCCTGCAGCACAAAGTAGAGGCCATTTGCATCATTTAACTTAGTGGAAGATTCTTATCTGCGATACTGGAAGGAGAACAAGTAGGTCAGGCAGTTCAGGGTAGCCTGATGACTGAACTGGCAAATGCAGAAGGTGGGAGTGAAGTGGCTACAGATCACTTTTGTCCTGGCATTGGACCACTAGCATCCACAACGGTCTGTCATGTTAGTAAAACCAATCATTTTTTGGTATAAGGGAGCAACTGGAAGCAAAATTCCTTCACTCACAGGATATACTGAATTAAGGAAGGAGCTAGAGGCCCTCAAAGAAGAAATCAGGCAGCAAGAGAGGAATGAGGCTGAAGAAGCCGACTCGTCCACAACAGCAAAGTGAGTATAAAACCTCCCGTTTCTTTGATTTTCAGGCTTACTCTGGAAAATACGGCAGGGGTATGTGAATAGCTTATGGCATGAGGTATGGTTTATCAACTTGAAGCTATCCGGTCAAGCCAGTGACAAAAGATTTTTGCCCATGTTTTATAGGGCTGAAGGTGGTTGTGGTTTAAAATCTTTTTAAAAGAGAGTAGCATACCTGTGTGTATATATGTATATATATACTACAGGGATAGGATTGGCTCTATCCCATGATGACAGAAACCAAAATCCCACTTTTCTCCTTAGAAAACCTTGTATATATATTTGCTGGCATTGTTAATACGTTTATTGTCCATGGAAGGTTACTGGGCAAGTGAATGTCGGATTGTGGGAAGCACCAAGTCCTAGTGTTAGTACTAACTTACCAAAAGGTCAGAGGTGGGGAGTGCACACCAGTTACATTGCTGAGAGATGGCACATCATACAGTGGTGCCTCGCTTAACGAGCGCACCATTTAACAACGAATCCGCATAGTGACGTGTTTTTTGTGATTGCTAATGTGATCGCATTGCGATGTTTTAATAGGCAAAACATCGCATTGCTTCCCTTTGCCAGGAATTGTTCGCATTGTTCGATCTTCGCATTGCGATCTTTTGGGAACAGCTGATCGGCGGTTCCAAAATGTCCACCGGGTGCAGAAAATGGCCGCCTGCAGCGTTTTCGCGCTCTGCCCTCGCTTACCGGGCGGCGAAAACGGCGGCTGGATGGAGGATTCCCTGCATAGCAAGCGGTTTTTCCCCAATAGGAATGCATTAAAGAGTTTAATGTGTTCCTATGGGTCCCCCCCCCCCCGCATAGCGACGAATCTGGATAGCGATGTTAATCCTGGAACGGATTAATGTTGCTATGCGGGGCACCACTGTACTTGGAGAACATGGGATGGGGGATAAGCAGGAGGAAATTCTTAGTACATTTTATGAAACCCTTTCTGTCAAATGTATTATATGGCAGAAAACAATTCCTCCATCTACTTCCTTGGTTTCTACACTCAAAGGAAGTCAGGGAAAGGAGGAAAAGCAGAACAGGATGGACTTTGACTAAAACATACAGCTTTCTGAGGTATGTGTTAGTGAGCCATGTTCATGTAGGCTTTCAGTACATTGTTGGTCCATCAAAGTCCTCCCAGCTCGAGGCCAGGTGCCCAAGAAAAAGTGACTATTTTGCTATTGCAAAGAGGGAGCTTTCTTTGCCATCCTTTTTCCCCTTTTACAATGGCACTCAGCACCTATGGATGGGGCAGCCCCTCTTTTCCCTCCACATCTCATCTCAGCTGTGAACATAGTGGGTAGCTTATGGCATACTATTCTCAGTCTGAGTTTCCCACAACTGCCATAGAGAAATATCAATTCATCTTACAAAGTTGCTATAACACTGTTGACAGCTTGCTCCACTCCTATTGGGTTGTGAGAGAGAGAGAGAGAGAGAGACAGACACACAGACAGACAGACAGACACACAGACAGACAGACAGATAGATTGTGGGCCATGCCTGTTTAAGGATTACAGAAACTCATGAAACTTTTACATGCAAAAAGTCTGACATCCTAGCCCCTGCATTTGAATCGAATGCCTCTGTTTTAAGAATTACAGAAACACATGAAACTTTTACATGCAAAAAGCCTGACATCCTAGCCCCTGCATTTGAATCGAGTCCCTGGAAAGTTGTTACTAACCAGAATGGCCATTGCTAACAGTCTCAGTATAAGCTAGCATCATATGTTCAATTATCCCTTGCAGGTACCGTGTACATCTTTATTACCTGATCTGCCACATTGATTGGGACTACTCTTGTGACCCAACAGTTATCAAAGGAAGTATCCTTTTATTATAAGCAAAAAGGCACGTTTTCTTGCTTGGGTTGAGGGATAGGGAAACACGAACTGATTTTTCCTTAACCTTTTTTTTTTTCCTTCAGCCCATTATGGACCTGACATTGCTCAAGCTATCAATCTTGACAGCAGCCAACACTCCCGTTGCTTTATCAGTGACTTCCTGTGGAGCCTGGTGAATACCTCCTGGTGAACAATTTGGCTCCTGGCAAAGGGAAGCATGTGTGCATTTGGACCATCCTTTCGGCAGCAAAATATTTAGGAAGCAGATTTTTGTTTCCTAGTTACTGTGTTTCTGTACTCTGGTGTCTCTAATTTGAATAAATACACAGAAGGAGGAGAAATGAATACTAACCAGAAAAGGTATTTTATTTGTGTGAGACGTGTAGTTCAAAAATCAGTTCTCTTCTGATTCCTCCCCCGCATGTCTGCTGGAAAGTTGCACCAATGTAAGAAAAAAAAACCCAATGCAGGTGAGCACTTTCCCGTGGGGCTAAGATGAAAAGCGGCTTAGGCTAGGGCTCACCTGAAGTGTTGTGTTTATGGTGATCCATGGTAACTTACCTGGAGATCCTTATTTAGAAGAGCAGCCATAACAAGCTCCCCTTCCCACAGCTGTCTCCGGTTCTGCACCTTGACAAATTTCCCAAGAATCTGCCGATGCGATCAGAGCACAGAAAGAGGACTTCAGAGCTAAGCTTGAAGTTCATTGTCAAAAATGTCTGTACAACAGATTTCAAAGGAGCAGGAATGGTTTATGTACAAGATCCCCATCCATGCAAAAGAGGCTCCCTGGTTCAAACTACTCCCTGCAGGCCCATTAACTCTCAGGGAGCTTAAAAGAAGTGTGCAGTGAGCATCAAATCCTCGTCTTCTGCATCTCCTTGGTTGAAACATCAGTCCCAAGCCCAGAGCCAGGCTGGGGCAACACGGAGAGGTGACAATGAATCCAGTCCAACTATTATAAAAAAGAAACACTGCAGGAGCTGTTTCCTCCCCCTTAAGATCACCTTACAGATAGTTTAAATTGGGTTATGACGTTTCACCCGTTCTTGGCACTTTTCCTTACTTCTGGCAGAACAGAACTTGGCATCTCATAACAGTGAATCCTCTCCGATTTGTCTCCCTTCTTCTGCATTCAGGGAAACTCGGCTCCTGTTTGTTGCCCTTAACAATGGCACTTCTGCTCATCAGTCTGTTTGCAGCACGGCTCCATGGTGATCGCCACGCCCACCCCACTGCGGCCTGAAGTCATACGGGTCACCTCTGTCCAAGTGTCAGTGGTGGGATCGTAACATTCAACACTATCCAGGAAGGTCTGGCCACCGTAGCCGCCTGCAGGACAGAACGAGCAGTTTAGAAAAAGGAGGGGGCTGAGGCCATGCCATGCCAGGGCCAGCTCACCGACCCTCGGGAGTAATGCCTGTACAGAGACAAGGGTCTGGGATCTCATTTTTGCTGTGGGAATACAGGGATGCTAAAAGTTCACAAGTTGCCAGTTCCAGCCTTAAAAGGGCACGGTGACCCACAAATGGAGCCTCAGCAAAAAGGGGAAGAAGCATGGGAAGAACAGCCATGTGGAGCCTCATCTTCCTCAGCAGCTGAGGAATATACTGAGCAATATTGTACATGTACTGGTTTTCTGATACTGGAGACAATAGATAATCGCCATGACTCAGAAATTATACATAGACAGCCCTGAGCTATTGCTCAACCGGATAAAACATTTCTGAAGCAGCTTTGAAAAGACCGGACCCACATTATGCAATGCAGGTATTTTTTAACTCGCCAGGTGCCAGGCTGGCTAGGGATGAGGAAAATTGCAGTCCAAGACATCTGAGGGACAGGAAGGTGGGAAGAATGTTTGTCTCATAAGATGCAGACACCCTTCCCCAACATTCAGTTAGATGTAACAGTAATGTACTAATAATGAACCTTTCTGCCACCTGGAAGGAGAGCAAGCTCTTCTTTCTGAGCCTTCTGGCGTCCTAACTCCAATAATCCAGAGCTTGAAAAAAAAAATCTCTTTTTGACAACTCATAATTTTCCCACTCAACATGGAGACTGGGAAGCTGTCTGGACTATTCCAGGAATTACAGTCCAAAATGAAATTTCTGAAGTAAAAGGAATAAATGCATATACAGTGGTGCCTCGCTTAGCGATCGCTCCGTTGAGAGACGAAATCGCTTAGCGACGGGGTTTAAGCGATCGCAAAAGCGAAAGCTTAGCGATGGTCCCTATGGGGAAATTTTGCTTTGTGATGATCGCGGGGAAGCGATCATCGCAAAGCCCCCATTTTCGGCCAGCTAATCGCCGGTTCTTGAAAAAAAATAATAAATCTCTTTTTGACAACTCATAATTTTCCCAGTCAACATGGAGACTGGGAAGCTGTCTGGACTATTCCAGGTATTACAGTCCAAAATGAAATTTCTGAAGTAAAAGGAATAAATGCATATACAGTGGTGCCTCGCTTAGCGATCGCTCCGTTGAGCGACGAAATCGCTTAGCGACGGGGTTTAAGCGATCGCAAAAGCGATAGCTTAGCGATGGTCCCTATGAGGAAATTTTGCTTTGTGATGATCGCGGGGAAGCAATCATCGCAAAGCCCCCATTTTCGGCCAGCTAATCGGCGGTTTCAAAACGGCCGCCAGAAAAACAAAATGGCCACTCGCTGTGTTGCCTCACTTTAGAGGCACCGAAAATGGCCGCCCCTATGGAGGATTTTTGCTTAAGGTTAGTTTTGAAGCCCACAGGAACGCATTATTGGCGTTTTAATGCGTTTCTATGGGCTTTTAAAATCCATTCAGCAATGAAATAGCTTAGCAACATTTTTTCCTGCACGGATGAACATCGCTAAGCAAGGCACCACTGTAATTTTTTAAAGCCTAAAGCTTTTCTCTGATAACTGTATCAATATTTGTCAAGAATTAATTCCATACACAGTAGAACTAGGAGATTGCACTCTGGAGAATTCTTCACAAATTACAGCTCTTGTTTGCAACGAGGATGAAGGTTCAGCACCTGAGACAACTCATGCATTCATGCCACTTCCTGCGGTCATAGGCACCGTGAACATATAGGGGACATGGACAATTCCAATCATTGCTCTGGAATGTGTATGGTAAGTGCTCCTATGTGACCTTTTGGCCCCGACTTCACTCATTCAGAGTTTTATTGCATTTATGACCTGTTGGAATTATACAACATGTTCAAGCACCATTGTTTCCCTTCTAGCCTGGGATCGAAATCTACACACTAAAAATGAAAACACAGTCTGGAACTTATGAATGGTGGTTCAAGTCAACAGAAAGATAAAGTGCAATATTCCAATTGCAGCTTAACAATTCCTTGTGATACATTCAGATGCACATTCATCCCTCCACATCACATGCACAAATCAAATCAGTGTTGGAACTGTACAGTGGTGCCCCACATAGCGATGATAATCCGTTCCGAAAAAATCGTCGCTATCTGGATCCGTCGCTATGCGGGGCAAAAAAGCCCACAGGAACGCATTAAAACACATTTAATGCGTTCCTATGGGCAAAAAACTCACCGTTATCTGGAAATCCTCCATGCGGCCGCCATTTTCGCTGCCCGGTAAGCGAGGAAAGGGCACGAAAACACTGCGGGCGGCCGTTTTCTTCACCCGGTGGCCATTTTGGAACCACCGATCAGCTGTTAGAAAAAACATCGCTATACTGTATGAAAATTGGTAAGCGAAAGGCTTAGCAATCATCGCAAAGCGATTTTTGGCCATCTAAAACATCGTTATGCGATCGCTTTTGTGATCACAAAAAACGTGTTGCTATGCGGATTCATCGTTAAACGAATCGCTCGTTATGCGGGGAACCACTGTACTTTAGTCAACCTGCTATTTTTGTTTTTATGTTCCTCAGGCATTTGATTTCATATCCCATAATATGGTTCATGAACAAATAGTTTCTAAGATGTTTTTCCTTTAAAAACCCACAAAAAATAAACAGCAGCTTTTCACTGCAAGCAAGCAGAATGAATATATTCATATATATACGGCGGGAGATGTGGGGTAAGATGGATGGTGAAGATGAGAAAGAACAGAGCACACTGGCTCTGCACAAATTCTGTATCTCTGTGAGCTAGCTAGCTCTACCTATGTAGAGCACTGGAGTAGGGAGGAAGTATCGTGGACTAGGGCAGCAGTCCTCTGTTAACATGCCGGTGAAGAAGCCCAAGGAGTGCACTGAGACATACTTCCATGTAAATAGTACAAAGGAGCAAAGAGCTTAAGCCTCACCAGCTGAAGCCTCGTTACTGAAAATACCAAAGTCCAAATAGCTTGCTTAGGCCAGCCTAAAGGGGCACTAAAATGTGTACAATTTCCAGAGACCATTGTTTGCCAGGATATTGCAAAAAGCGGGGGAAGATTCCCCAACTTGATCATGGGCCATCCACATTCTTTCTTATAAACGATACAATTTGCTCGGATCTTTAGCAAAAGGGATTGAAACCAGTTCTGCCCCAAGCAAACACAATGGCTGCTCCCCAGGCCTTGGCCATCTCTCACCTAACAGGGAGAGCTGCCGTTCAGCCTAGCAATACTTACCCAGCACATAGATCTTGCCCTGGTATACTGTAACCCCAAGTGCACTCCGGCGGTGTTTCATGGGCGTGACAAAGGACCAGGTGCCAGCTTCCACATCATAGCGCTCCACGCTGTTAAGCTGATCCGTGCCATCGTAGCCCCCCATGGCATAGATGCAGTTATTTAGAGCGCAGACGCCTGCATTAGAGATAGCCATGTTAAGACAGACCCACTGACTGATCCTGCCAGCTACCCCATCAGTACACCTTGTTTGGAGACCCCCACAAAGGCTTTCATGACATCTCAGTTACAAGCCTTAGCTTAGGAATGTGGAATACGTGGCCCTCAAGATGCTGTTGGACCCCCACCTCTCATCATCCTTGACCACTGGCCACACTGCTTGGGCCGAAGGGAGTTGGAATCAACATCTGGAAGGCCATACATTCCATATCCCTGTCTTAACTGCCTATAGAAGAGCCAGAGAGGTGTCATGATTAGGGGAAGGGGGGCCAATTACTTTCTCTCAGCCTGATCTACTTCACTTGGAAAGAAAGAGCCATCCATACTGAAGGAAAAGCAGGATACACATGTAATCGGCAAACAAATGAGTAAATGAATTGGTGCAACTTTTTCAAAATGTAACAGACTCTTGTCCTAGTCTCTTGTGCTACTTTTCAGGCATAGTGGTGATAGTAAGCAAGACTGTTAAATGTACTGTTTATCGGGAGAAGGTGGCCAACTGGCCCACCAGCTAACAAATGGCAGAATGCCATGCCACTGGCAGGCCTTCTGTGGCCCTCATCAATGCCGCAGCTGAATTCCATTCTCCGACTTACCACCAACTTTACTTCAGTCCAAAAAAGCACTGGGATACTCTTTCCCCCTCACTGCTAATTATTATATAACTGTATTTTTTAAATAGTTAAGACATCCTCACCAGGGCCAAGAGCCGACAAGAAAATTCAACACTTCCACTCATGCCTACAAAACATAGAGCCCAGCCTTGAGACAAGAGGGAGAGAAAGAAAGGGCAAGGAGAGCCGGGTGCCCTTTGACGGCTGCAAAACCGACGGACACAGAAGCCACAGTGAAGGATCTTGGTCAAAGCCCCCCCCGCCCCCCGCCCCGTTGGCCTCGCTACCCTCACCTGCTCCACTCCGGATGGTTTTCATCGGGGCAATCATCTCCCATTCATCCCGTTCAGGGTAGTAGCACTCCACCGAGTTGTGGCGGCAATTGCCATCGTAGCCTCCCACCGCGTACAAGAGGCGGTTCAGCACGGCCACCCCAACGCCAATCCGGGGCGTGAGCATGGGCGCCACTAGCTTCCATTCGTCCCGCTCTGGCTCGTACCTGGAGGGAAAGAAGCAGCCACCTAAGGGTTAATGGTTAGCAAAGACACGGGGGGGAGTCAGGCCACTTGTAGGGATGCAAACCACCACAAACAGGGAGAGAAAGTTGGTTCATCAACTCGAGAGGCCAGACTTGGGCAGCATGAAGAGAGAGATGGCTGTGAGAACAGGTGGGGTTTTTTTTGGGGGGGGGAACCTACCACTCACTCAATGTCGGAGCCCCAGAGTTAGAGCTATAGGGCTTCAATGAGAGCACAAGGAGCTCCAACGGCAGAAGAAGCAGACACGAAAAAGCCAGCACCTTCTCTGAGAAGACACCCAGTCCTTTAAGTAAGCAAGGCCAGTCGGCAGGCAGAGCCCTTCTGACGGACACCCCACGGCTCAAGGCAAGGTCACTAGGAGTCAGGATGGCACTACAACTTTTGGCTTTCATGGGGAGGGGAGTAGGACAGAAACAAACAAGAGAATATAGATGTTTGTAGCCTCCTGTTGTGAAGGAGCAACAACAAAAGAGTGCTTTACATCAGTGGTCCCCAACCTTGGGCCTCCAGCTGTTTTTGGACTACAACTCCCAGGAGCTTTCACCACCACCTCTGCTGGCCAGGATTTCTGGGAGTTGAAGTCCAAGAACATCTGGAGGCCCAAAGTTGGGGACCACTGCTTTACATAGAACGTGTTTGCTCTTCAGATTCAGAAAGCAGAACTGCCCCCCCCAGCACTGCTGAGGGCCTCCCAGCCTCAAGGCTTCCAACCTTTGTCAACCTCACCCTGCATCCCTTTTTCTTTGAGCTTTAAGACAACACTGTCAGCTTGTTTCTTCAACTTAGAAATTGTACATTTTTAGACTGGAGAGAGAGAGAGAGAGAGGGAGGGAGGGAGGGAGGGAGAGGGGATGATCAGTATAGCCACTATTCTCTCAGTCTTGGCTTCTCACATTGCGTCCTTATAGCCTCTGATGGAAGGAAGCTGGGTAGTTTTGCCATAAGTTTAAGGAGAAGCCTGAGAATATGCCACAATGTGTTACAGTCAATTATTTACTTGTTATTAATTTCCCCTCACTTTTGTTTTACAGTAGCTAACGCATGTATTTTGCAATATGATTACTATGCCGTGAGAGATAACTTTACTCCTTTTGTGGTATAATTTTGAATTGTTAAGAGTTAAGACTGCTTGTGGTCTTGCTACTTAGATATGTTTTGTCCCATGCACTGAGTGGCCCCTAACATTCTGCTATGAAGAATTCCAAACTAAATAAAATCCTCATTATTTTAGTTACATTTTAATAACGAATAAAACTCTGTTTGAAAATGCAGTGGTGCCTTGCTTGACGTTAATCCGTTCCAGCGAAATTGCTATAGAACTAAATTGTCGTCAAGCAAAAGTAAAAAGCCCATTGAAACGCATTGAAAACCGCTCAATGTGTTCCAATGGGCGAAATACCTCAGCGTCCTGCGAAGATCCTCCATAGGGCAGCCATTTTCTGGTGCCTGTAATGCGAGGAATCCATCCTAAAACACAGTGGGGAGCCATTTTGCACAGCGAGCGGCCATTTTGAAGACCCAATGATTAGCTGTAAAGATTGTCATTAAGCGAAAAATCAGTTCCTGAAGCAGGGGACCGACAGTCGGGAAGCGAAAAAAGCCCTTTGAAACGTCATTTTGCGATCACAATAGTGATCGCATAAACATCGTCGTGAAGCGATTTTGTCGTTAAATGCAGTAATCGTTAAGCGGGGCACAACTGTAGTGCAACTATAATGCCAGTTTAATTTGGTGGGGAGCATGGAAAGCCAACTACTTACCTTTTAAGGTAGCTTTCTAAACTCTGGGGAGACAGAAGCCTCTCCTTCCCTATTCTACCAATAACTCCTGAACCAATCTACTCCTCATTTCTTTTCTATATTTGGGACTATGATTCTTGTTGCTTTTTCTTAACTATGTGTAGTGTCCTGTTGTCTCTACAAGGAGGCTATCTTCCCACAACAAGCTTCTGATTGCCTCTGCCACTGGCACACACGGCAACAGCACAGAAAGCATCTGTCTGGGAACATCCATGGGTTTCCGCCGTGCTTTCAGGATCCCAGCGGGAGTGGGCTGAGCTGGCAGACACACCGTTTTTAAAAGGGGAATCACAGCTGGGCTTGAGTCACACACGTTCTCTGACTTGACTCTCACGGATTTCAAGAAAGGAGGAGAAAGTACCTTAAGGTGGCAGCTTCTAAGGAAGCCAGGATTGTGCCCAGTCTCCTGAAGTGCTTTGAAAAGTTTATGAGGGACAAATAAACAGGGCAATTTGAAGTTGCTCAGTTTCAACTGATAAAACGCTCCATCTGGTCACCTTCCAACTGATAACACACGAGAATCCCGTCTGCTGTTTCAACACATTTGATATCATCAGCTCTCTGTTACTCTTCTGTTCTGTTTGATAAAAGTATTGTGGACAGTCCAAAGGCTCTCCTCTAAAAACCTTAGCAAATTAAAATGTGCCAGCTGAGGGAGTTATGTAATTTCAGACAGTAAACTTCCCCGAGTTCATTCCTGAACCAGGCAGAGCAATCGAATCATCTATGCAGGTATCCCACACTTATTTTATCCCCCAGGACAAAGAGAAAAGTAAGTGAGCAGGCCCAATGGGTGACTCGTTTCCCAGAAGACCACATCGTAACTCTAGTATCTTTATGAAGCCAAACTCCCTGGGAATCTTCATGTAGTTATTCAATACTTGTGTAGACCAGAGCAAGGGTAGAATAGAATATCAAGAGGTCAGAAAGCCCATGTGACTAGAAAGTTTGTGTGGTGCAATGGTTAAACGTTAGCCTCTCCCTTAGGAAATCCAAGTTCTAGACCACTGGTTCTTAACCTTTGTTACTAAGATGCTTTTGAACTGCAACTCCCAGAAACCCCAGTCAGGACAGCTGGTGGTGAAGGCTTCTGGGAGTTGCAGTCCAAAACTCCTGAGTAACCTAAGGTTAAGAACCAGTGTTCTAGATCACACTGAACAGTCAAACTCAGTGAGTGACTCTGGGCCAATTACCTTCTCCTGGCTTGACCTACCTTGTAGGGCTGTTGTGAGAATAAGGTGGGGAGAAGAGAAACATGTGTACCATCCTGTGCTAACGAAATGAAATATATTTCCACAGGAGCAGCTGTCTGTAGTCAGTTGTAGCAAACCTACAAAGAGCATTATGGAACTTCAAAGATCCATAAGATTTATTTGCCACTGTTTCTGATGCAGGTGAAGAACTGGGTTGCAATGTATAAAAGCTTAGGCCAAACAGAGTTCACTCGTCTTTAAAGAGCCAGTAGTCTCTGTTATTTATGCTGCAAGTGGGACATAAGTAATAACTGTGGAAGTGAGCAAACAAACGGAGAAACACACAACTCTCCTTTCCACCTTTGGAACAAGGTGCACTTACCACACACCCCTCCCCTCCCCCCCTTCTCACCTCTCCACGCTGTTATGATGGGAGCTCCCAAAAGAGCCGCCCACGGCGTAGATCATGCCGTCAATCACACCGACACCAATCCGGTTCCGGGGCACACTCATCGAAGTACAAGGAGTCCAGCGGTTGGTCATGGGGTTATAGCAGTCAATAGCATCTGAGTCCATGTTGCCATCAGGGGAATTGTTCCTCCCGCCCACGGCGTAGAAAAGCCCGCCCACCACGCAGCCGGCCAGGCCACTGCGGGGCACTTGCAGATCAGCGAGCCGGATCCAGGAACCGTCGCAGGGATTGTAGGCCTCCAGGTAACTGAGCGAGTGCCGGAAGTAGCCCCCGGCCGTGTAGATGAGCTGGCCCACTTTGGGGGTCCGGCAGGGCACATCCTTGGTGGGCTTGTGCAAAGTGAGGTCCTGGAAGATCTTGACCAAGTAGTCCTTGCAGCGGGAGTCCGACTTCAGGATCTCGCACTTTTGCAGCTGCATCTGAAGGAAGTGCGGGGTGAGCGAGTGGCAGCGCACCGCCTTCAGCAGGGCCTGGATGTAGAGCCGCCGGTTCTCACAATCGTATTTCACCCAGTTGATGCAGGCGTGGAAGACCTCCGACTCGCAGCGCACGTTCAGCTCATCCCGGCTGATCAGGGTCACCAGCTGGCAGTGGGAGAGGTTGAAGAACTCGTCCTGTTTGGACACCTGCAAAGGGAGCAAGCGGAGCAGGGGGTGCCGTGAGCATGACCGTCTCACCTCCCAAGGTTTGGGGGTAAGGAGAGAAGACTCCTAAGGCCAGAACCATTCAAACAGTGCCGGGGGCCCCGAGGCACTCTCTCTTGCACGTCACTCGACGGCTGCTGCTCTACACAGGAGGAAGTGACGTGGATGGTGATGCTCATACAGTTCAGTGGCGTCAAGAAAACAAGGTTTAGGGCTGCATTTTTCCACCTTTCCTATCTTCATGCCACCCCAGTCAACAAACCAGGCTTACATGACCGAAACAAAAAAGGACGTACTTTTTGTGAGAAGGATCCCTGAATGTTTTACAGCCATTCTCTTATTATATTCATCCCAGCCAGTTTTAAGGACATTTAAAACTGCAGTGAATTTGTTGGAAGCAGAGCTAAACAAAAAGAATAATTTCTCTGCGCTCAGCAGAACATAGCTGGTGGAAGGTACCAGAGTGACCTGCACTACAAGGCTCTTTTTTTTTCTTTTTTTTTTTTTTAACAGTTTTTACTGTTAGGAGGGCCCTGGTTTATGAGTAAAAATCAGGAAAACCTATTTTCAAGCAGGTTAAGATGTTTTGGTAGGCCTAGCATCTGCTGGAGTCAATACGTTAACTCTTAGAATTTCAGTGCTTCTTATCAAAAACATGACCATTTTTAAAGGAGATATATAATAAAATATTCAGTTAAGAATAATGGCTGTGGGAGCAGCACTGAGCTAATGGGATCAGGCTTATAAGCAATGGTGTCATAACTGCATTTATGAAATGCTCACTCATATACAGTCAGGTAAAAACAAAAGTACACCCGCTTAGAATTCTATGGTTTGACATATCAGGACATAACAAAAACTATCCAGTCCTCAGCAGGCCTGAAAATTAAGTCAATACAAGCTCAGACGAATAACACATGACATATTACACCACGTCAAAAATGTATTTAACAGAAATAAAACCAAAATGAAGAAGCCACATGTGAAAAACTAAGTATGCCTTATGATTCAACAGCTTGTAAAACCATCTTGAGCAGCAATAACTGGAAGAAATAATTTTTCTGTCATACATTTTTTTTGAGAGGCTGGCCGGCTGCCTCTGCACATGCGCCCTCATCTGAGAGGCAGGCGCATGCACAAAGGGAGGCTGCCGGAAGCCAGCCAGGCTGCCTCTCAAAAAATTATTATTATTTTTTTAAGGCAGTCTTTTTTTAAAAAAAAAAATCCTGGCTGCTTCAGCTAAGAGGTGGGATCAGCTGAGGCAGGCATTTTTTAAAAAAGAGGCTGGCACATGGACAGAAGCAGCTGGCATGCAGAAGCCAGCAGGGCTGCTTCTCAAGTTGGCGGCAGCAGCCCTGGTGGCAAAGGCAGCCAAAGGTAGGGAGGCGACGGGGACAGTGGGAAAGGCTGTGGAGGCAGGGGAAATGAACCGGGAAGTTCAGTAAATCACTTTAAAAAAATTGTGTTGGGGAAGTTTGGGTTTTCAGGTTTGGACAAACCCAAATCAACACAAAGCAACAAACCAGTGATTTTCAATGGGCTGCAATCTATAAAAGCACAGACCAGAGCACAGAGCTCTAACTCCTGTCCTCTGAAGATGCCGGCCACAGAGACTGGCGAAACGTTAGGAAGAACAACCTTCAGAACACGGCCAAAGAGCCCGAAAAACCCACAACAACCAACGATTTTCGATGAACTTCCTGGTTTGTTTTTCTGGTTCCTGCCCATCTCTGTAGTTAACCACTTCTCTCCGAATCACAAAGCAATTGTCATGACTATTTTTAGTTTTCAAATTGAAAAAAAAAGCAGGTGGAGCCAATCATTCTCTTTCAAGATAGGGTAGTCTTTTCAATTTATATGAGCTCAACATACCCTCTAATTTTCAGCCCTGCTGGGCGGGGCTCTGCCTCCCTCCCTCCCTCCCTCCACTTTGCCCCTCTGTGCGCACGCGCATGTGTGAAGTTCTGTCACAACCAGAACCAAAGGGGCTGACCACAATCGCTGTGCAGAAGAGGAAAGCTGCGTGGAGGGAGACGGATTTGCACACACAGGTGTGCACCTTACAGGGAACCTTGCATGAGCTATTTTAAATCTGAGGATGGTTAGGGTCATCTATTTCTCAATGGGAGTGGAAGTTTTACTTTTAAAAAATACAAATTCAAAAATCCTTTACTCAAACTTCCCCAAATTTGGCACAGAACAAGAGCAGAGTCAGTCAGATACAACTGTGCTATGTTTGGTGCTGATCTGAAGTCCAATTTCAAAATCATAATTGTTTCTTTGGGTTGCCCTCATGTTATTTTTTTTTTTGAAAGGCCTTGTTGAATACTGCTTTGCTGTGCAATAACACATAATAACATATAATTCTCCTTGATTCCTTTTTCATTCTGTTCTCTTTAGTCAGACCTCGGCTCCTCAGTTTTCAGACACTATTGTTGTGGGTAATGATTACTTTCATGTTTTCCCTCAAGCCTAGAAAACAGGCAGAATGTGACAGTGGCCACCAATGTAAGCTCCCCAGATTTCCTTAGTCCCAACAAGTCTCTAGCCCCTGGCAAATGTAGAGATAAGGCATGGCAGTATGAAGGCACTGCCTTGTGAGTTTCGTAAACCAAATAAGATTTCCAGGGGCGCAATCAGACTTGAGTGCTTACCTTCTTCCCAAGGTGAGGAAAGAAAAGGTTTCCTGATGAGGAAAGCAGCAAAATAAATTAAGAATGACCATTAAATGACACCCCACCCCCCCAACGATGCTGAATTCTGGTCTGGGCACAATAATAACCACTCTCCAGCAAAGGCTGGGCAACATGGAGGTTATATATGCCTCGGTGCATTTTTGATGCCCTTGATGCTAAATTTTCCACCACATGACTGAATTTTGGTGATGCAAGAGTGGCAGAGCCTCCAGTCTAAATCATGGAGAAGAACAAGCAATGAGTATCTTGTTTTTAAAAACTGATTCATCCTCAAAGGAACACAAGCTGGATTAAAATAAGGTACATGTTCTTCATATGCCTTCCTTTAAAGTGAAGTGGAGGGGTTACCAACAATGCACCACCAGATCTGGCAATGTGGTGGCCAATTCTATTGTGCTTTAACTGTCGGGGGTGGGATGCTTGTCCCTGTTGGGTTAAGGAGGAAGAATCAGTCCCTTCCAACACTGGAAGTGCCCCACTTCTGTCCTAGTACAAGACTTCCCCTGACACATGACACAGTCCTTTCCCACCCCTGGTGCTCTCTTCCTGGTGCTCACCTCCCCAAAATGCATGTAGATGTATTCTCGTGCCCGTTGGTGCAGTTCGGCGCAGCCAATCTGCTCGGCAAAGTTGGCAATGCCAATGGCATTGCTGGGGTCCAGCTGCTGCACCAGGAAGTCACTGCAGGCTTTGACCACACTGTCAATCTGGTACATTACTGCCCCGTTCATGACGTGCAACACACAATGCTCCCCCACTGAGATGGAGGCCGTGTAGGCAAACTCAATGAGGCGCTCCATGACTTTAGGGTGGATGCCCTCGATGGGGACAATTTCCATGCCTTGCTCCCGGAGGCCCATGGTGAACATAGCCTTGAAGACAGGGCTGGAGGAAGCCAGCACCACCTTGTGGGCCTGGAATTCGGCTGGGGGAAGATCTTTGTATATGACCCGCAAAGTGACGTCGCAAAGCTGCTGGTTCAGGCGCAGCTGGTTCATGATGCTGAAGGCTTGCTTGGTGTGGTCTTCCAGCGTGTAGCTGAAAGTGCGATGGCCATCGTGTGAGGGAGTCACCTCCGCCTTGCACTCTGGGTCGTACATCACAAAAGCAGCCACACATTCATTGCATGAAGGAACCGGAGAAAAAAAGCAGGGGTGACGGCAGCAGATGCAGAATCAGCTATGTGGGGAACCTGGCTACAGAACTCTGACACACAGGAAAGACTCCACACCTGCAGAGGAGACAGACAACAGAAAGGTCTGGTTAGAGGCAAAACTACCACGATGCTTCCTTTTCAAAGTTACAGCATTGTTTTCACCCCAAGTTTGGCAAGAATCATGCAAGGCACCATGAACTTGAGCTACTAAGGTTCCCTAACCACTGCCTTAATTAAAAACATTCCCCTTAACTGTGATGGCTGGTGTTCAGGTATGTGTTCACGCGTGCGTGTAAACGCATGCGCAGTCTGATATAATTATTTTATATTTGTTTTATAAGGCCAAGAAGCAATTGCTATGGAGAAGAAGACAGCCCTAGGGTGCAGGATCAGCTCTTTACTCCTCTGTTGCATCCGTGGTAGCCTGCCAGGCTCAGAATGTCCGTCAGAAGCACCCAGTCTTTTGATTCTTATGAATCCCTTTTTCCGCATCTAGCTCTGCTGGGTCGATCTTGGGCTTCTAGTGGAAAAACCACCTGAAAATACATGCAGGAGGCCTCAAGTCTGCCCACCCTGGTTGATGCTATAAATCAAGAAAAGTAACTACTGTACTCAGGAGGACATCTTGCCTTGACGTTTCATGCATCTTGTTGGCTCACTTGCTAAACAAAATGGAAAAAGGAATCAAGGTGCCAAGGGCTACTGCTGTTATGGCTAAGCTACCCAATAATACCACCCTCTTGCCGAGGGGGCCCTAGGATGAATTTAACCTCTTGAGCACTGGAGGCTAAGCCTGACTTTGCTTCAGAGGTTCTCTGGTCTCTTAGTCCTCCTGAAGCTCAGCTCATCCCCATTTCCCACAGACATCATGCTGATTCATTAGCAGTATTCATTTCCTGAGCTTGCAGCCATTCCACCACCTCATTCCCTCCAGGGCCACTCCAGCTAATCAAGAGGCCCTATTACGATAGGAGAAAAATGAGCAAACATATGACCACCCTCCGTTGGGCCCAAGACAATTTGCTGAATTCTGAAATTAAAGCAAATAAAGGCTTGCTCTTTGGAGACAAGAACACGGTGTATGTAACCTGGGACAAAGTCAGTAATTTTGCTAAGGCAGTGTTTGTCATGCTGCTGAAGGGTATATCTCACTCCCTGAAGTGTACTTACAGAGATAACTCTGGAGCCATACATTTTTCTGTACCTAGCTAGGCCATCTAGCACAGATGGGGAAAGAATTCATTGGATTTGGCTCTTCCAAATAAATTTACCCATTTTATATTTCCTATGAGAAACGGTAGAGTGGAATCCCTCTGGTCTGGGAAATCTGAATGTCTCTGATGCATCTTATGGGGATGAGGATGCACACGTGTGCATTCTAGGAATGTATGAGGCTAAAAATGGGAACACTTCAAAAATAGGCACAAAGGCTTTCTGTCAATGCAATGAAGAGTACAACAATATATATTACAGAAAAAGTGTACGTTTTGAAAAAAGCTCACCAAAATATTCACAAACTCCTGTGCAGAAAAAGGAAGTCTGAACAACCCAAAATGCAAATTTATGCAAATAAGGATATATCTTTGGGAACAGAATTGTGGCCAGAACCATTTTGGAGAACAAGAGGAGGGGGCTTGAAAAGCCCACTGCATGCCACAATACTCTGGGGAGGGTGTACTGTATTTGCTTCCCCTTCCTCAAGCAGAAGGAAAACTCACTTGGGAAACTAGCCAGCCCCAATGCAGAAATGTAGGGGAGGAGGTCCACAACTCCACAGCCCATGAAGCAACAAAATGAACTTCTTATGGCAGCTATAAAAGGGAATACTGTTACAGTACAGATATTTTCAAATGGGAGCAGGCAATATAAAATCAGAGTAACTGAACATCCAAAATTACAATAGTGTCCAAATGAACAAACACTGGGATTCTGAAATAAATGTCAGCATGCCTAATGTTATTTTGGTCATCTGGCTTCCACTGCAGACGAAGCAGCTGGCTCTACAAATTAAATGATACATTTATGAAAAGTCTAGCAAAGTAATGAATATTTAGATTTTTCTCCAGCCTCAAATATGGACAACACATTTGGTGGGAAGCCCAAAGCTTTTTGCTAGCGAACGTTTAGGGAGGCCAAAGAGCCAATGGCAAGGAATCAATGATTTCCCCCCACCAAGTCTCCAGAACAAGTTCCCGTGATACACTACACCAGGCTCCTTCCTTCCTTAATTTAGCAAATTGTTCAAAATAGAACTATTCAAAGCTGCCTTCAGCATCTCCATGATGCTGTAATTTCTCTCTCTCTCTCTTTGTATGAATTTTTGACTATACAGTTACGTATTGCCGTGTTGTTTGAATGTATGTTCTTATCTGGGCTCTTGTGGAGCTTTAAGTTTCAACCTGTAAACTGCCCACAGTGCTTATGGGACAGTATATAAATCAAATAAATAAATATATAAATACATTTCTTCAAGGGGACTCTTTGAGAATTAGCATCAACAAAAGACAACAAAACAAAACAAAAAGTTGACCAGCACATCACAGCTCCTGCTTTATCTGTACTGGATTCACAAAAAGCAAAACAAGAATGAAGTCTTTAAAAAGCTAGTAGTCAAATATAAGACAGGCTTTTCTGATGGAGCACACAGACACTAAGAAGTCATGTACACTGAACTTTGGATGCACCCCCGAACACAGCAGAACATATGCTTCTTTAACGGCATACCAACAGGGCTGCCCTGGGATATTTTGCTGATTTGTTGGGTATCAAGAAGCGATACAGTGGTGCCCCACTTGACAACGATAATCCGTCCAGCAAAATCGCTGTAGAACGAAATCGTCATCAAGCGAAAGTAAAAAGCCCATTGAAATGCATTGAAAACCGCTCAATGTGTTCCAATGGGCGAAATACCTCACTGTAAAGCGAAGATCCTCCATAGGGCGGCCATTTTCCGGTGCCTGTAAAGTGAGGAAACACAGCAGGGAGCCATTTTGAAACAGCAGGTGGCCATTTTGAAACCCGATGATCAGCTGTTTTGATCGTTGTAAAGAGAAAAATCGGTTCCCGAAGCAGGGAACCGATCGTCGTCAAGTGGATTTTCCCCATCTAAACACCGTTTTGCGATCGCAATAGTGATCGCAAAATACTCATCGTGAAGCGATTTCGTCATCTACTGGAATAAGCGTCTAGCAAGGCACCACTGTATAAATATTGGGAATGTAAAGAACAGGAAAAGGAATAACAGGATCTCAAAAATCAGCATGCATAGTTGATTAAAATCATTTTTTTTAAAAAAATTCTGAATGTTTTAAGTTTAAATCATAGTTTTAGATTTTTATTGTGAATGCCTCATTTCTTTTTTAAAGCACCATGTAATGGTAGCTTTAATTTAAAATGAATTAAAGCTCAAACAGCTCACTATGGAATGCACATTATAAATTCTAATTCTATATTATGGGACAATTTACTTTAGTCACCCATGATCCTGTGGGTGATTTACACCAACCACCTGTCACACCGAGTATACAGCTGAACTTACTGACATTAAATTGTCAACTGATCCTTGTCTCCCCAACTATCAATTCCTTCTGAATAACTTTCTACCTAGGAACCCCTGGAAGGAGTCACTATGACTCAAAATTGACTTGATGGCAGTGGAGAGGAGATAAAAAGCAAACCTTACGAATTTTTATCAAATTCATTTAAATCACATTTTTTTAAGACTGGGAATTTATCCACCCTTCTGCAGAGAGAGATCAGATACTCACTTCAGATAGGGTTGGGTCGTAATTCCTGTAAGTCCTCACCACTGGCTGTTCTGATGGGAGTTTTAGTCAAATAGCATCTGGAAGACAACATGTTCCTCATTCTTAATAAAATTGTAATTCAATGTATGCAGCTACAACTTTGGTTCTAAAATGGAAATGAATACACATACAGTAGTCAGAACTGGGCCAGAGGGGAATAAGTTATGACTACAACTAAGGACCATAGAATGGGAGACCCAAAAATCAGACATACACATCATTCTCTGTTTGCAAGATGTCCTGTTCAAGGCCTACCTAAATGAACCGGAGTTGTGCAACAGTGAGGAAAGAACAAGAGTTTTTCCCCCAGTCTAGGTACCAACTCTTCACATAACGAAGAAGCCACTGAAAACTGTTTAGAGGCCAAGCGCTGCAATTTTTGGGCCGAGGCCTTAAGACATTTATCTAGCTTCACACACAATTCTCTATAAAGGTTTAGAATGATAGGACTTTTGTAGACTACATAGGAAAAGGACATTGTGTTCTCTCCAGAGTTAATGTGCTGGACTGGGATTTGGAAGATCTCAATTCAAGACCCCAGTGGGCCATGAAAACTCTGCTTTAGCGCAACCTCCATCATAGGTCTGTTCTGATAATTAAAGTGAAGTGGAGGAAATTCCTTCACTGGAGAAACGTTGGGATGTAAAGCTGGATTTAAAAAAAAACACACCAATACGTTATGCACTTACCACATGTCTGTGTTTAAAGCTTGTATCTATTGTTGTGATACAAGCTTTATTTAAAAAATAAATCAAGGGTCCCCCCCCCAAATTGCTACGATTGCAGTTTTAGAATTTTGTAGTCTGTGTTGTTTGAATTTAATCAATGATTTGAGCTATTATGTCTCTATCACAGTTCTAATATAATTTATTGCAACGTTTCCTTCCTCGCTTTGAGCTTTAGCACCACCTCCCAGGAAAAAATGCAGAAGTCACAACCCCTGATACAAGAACCATAAAACAGTGGAACCCAATGCAGGAAGCCAACGGCATCAATGGCATTTAGTTTTAAGCAAGCACGGCACGATGCTGAAAAGCCAGATCCCTGCTGCATTTATCAAGTCAAAGAGCATACCAGAGTCCCATTTTATCACCCCAGGTAAACAGCACCACCTTACCCCCATCACCATTATTTTTCACAAAAGATCAGGAAGGCTGACTGCCTTTGGAACTGGCACCCTGTCCTGGTCTTCTGTGCAACAAAGCCTTATTTTTCCACCACTTCTGGGTGCAAAGGGGTGCCAGGATTTCAACCGTCGACATGCCTGTTGAAAACAAATGCTCCCAGCCTGAACTTGGCCAGCTTGTTTCAGGAGAGGGCAGTGTGCAAATTCAGCCGGAAGAGGCAGAGGGTTGTTTAAAAACATGCCAGGGAACCTAGCCAACTACCACCTCTGTGCTATGCACAGTTGCTGCTGCTCTGCCACATGTTGCAATCCCGGTTGACACAGGAAGGTGGCTATCTCTTCCTCCTCCTCCTCCTTTCCATGTCCCACCTGCGACTGCAGAGCAGAGGAACTGCGAAACAGGCCTTTTTTTATCCAGAACCCCGATTGATGCTGTGCGTGGCCTGGGGTGCTGCTGAAGGGAACTGTCTATTCCATTCACATTCACAGGACATTGCTAGGAAGGGCCTGTTCTGCATCAAGCCAATCTTAACCACGCAGCCACCTCCCTTACGTTGCCCGGCTACAACCATCTCTTTGGACCTACCAGCCAAACTGACTTTCCAAACAGTAACCGGCTCCCCTTTTCTGGGCTCAGCCACTCTCCGTCGGCACTTTGGGATGATGGTTGGCCACACCGCCACTTCAAGCACGATTCCTCTCGCCAAAGGCAATACACAGAACACCTCGTTACCTCGAAGCAGCACTTCCCTCAGCCTGATTTCGTTTTTATTTTTAATCAGTTAAATAGGAAAACACAAACACGGCTGCAAACTTGATCAGGGAGATCAACGAAAAGTTTCACTTGACCTATCAGGTCCTCAGGGCCAGTTCAAAAAACCGTGAGCTAGGAGAAAGACCATGCATATATTTTTTAAAAAAAAATCTACTGGCACAGTAATGAAAATGAAAGTATGAGTGATGTTTTCTCGAACATATGAGTGATGTTCTTTGCCCTCAAAGAGGAGTGGCTATTTGTCTTATTTATTTAGTAAAACAATACTTCATTCTTTCACAAAGGGACAATAAGACAGCCAAGTTAACTGTGGAATGATCTTTCCCCCAAAGTACAAAGTTCTGGAGTGCCTCTGTCAAGAACTGTGGCACATTCCTTCTCCAGCTGGCTTCCAGCCAGCCAGTTTTAAAAACAGTCTCTCCCAATCTAGACTGCACCAGATGTGTTAAAACTACCATTCCCATCAGCTCCAGCCTGAGGCACAGCGTCCCTGGAGTACACTGAGATGGGGCAAGTCTGAGCAAAATGCTATGAACTAAAGTGGGTGAACTGGAAGACCGACAGTGTTGCTTGGTACAAATCCTGCTCATTTTGTTTATAATTTGACGGTTGTATCCTTGGTTCCCACTGTTGTTTAAAAACTTAATAAACTAAAAGGCAAGGGCCCAAACCACTAAGAAGTATTTTCCTTTTGCCAACCAATGAAGGGAAACATCACTTTCTCTTTCAAGTTTTAATTGTCCCATAGGATCCAAGCCAGTGATCCCAGGATCCTTACAAGAATGCATCCTCTTGGGAGCGGCGCACGCAAGCCGACCTCCTGGTAACATCGCCCGCGAGATCCTGAGCCATTTTTATATTTTTCCGGGCAGCCTTACTCGCTCTATTCAAGGCCCCACCGCTCTTCCCAGTGGAATAGCTTTTCCCTTCCAATCTCCGAGGTACTTCTAACCCCCCCCCAGCCCACCCCCTATTTACCTGCCTTATTAGGGTTATTCTTGAAAATCTCCGAGCGCAATCACAAAGGCGCTTCACCCAACCCAGCAAAGCTGCCGTGCCTGCTGCACGAACAAAGGCAGCGGATACTCGGGCGGCGCGGGATCCGAACCCGGCCCTTGAGACGCAAACCCCCAAACCCAACCCAACCCAACCCAACCACCTGTCCTGCCCTGCCAAAGAATTCCAAGCAAGCAAGCGAGCAAGTCCTGCGAGAATCGGGCCGGGGCGCCGGAGCCAGAGGCGCAGGCCCTCGCTTCTCCTCCTCTTCAGGGCGTCTGGGGAGCCAAGAAGGGCGGCCTTCGCCAGGATTGCAGCGTCTGGCGTGCCTGCTGCCGACCCCGCCGAGAGAGGGGCTTCTCCGGGGAAGGGAGCGGGCGCTCGGGGAGCCCACCCACTCCCACCCCCCGTCTTCCGACCGCGCC